TTTTTTTTTTTTTTTTTTTTTTTTTTACCTGTTTTTATTTATTTTTTCATAAGTCTACTTTGGCATCCCGCTTCTCTTTTTTTTTTTTTTTTTAAATAAGTAATTCACCTCATCTTTTTGTGACCTTATTTATGCAAGCTTGTGTCTTCATTATGTCACAAATGTCCCCAATCTGCTTTTGTGTTTGTTGCACTGGAACAACTCTACAATAGTTTATTAGTTTATTTATGAAGTCCAACATGTTGGCCGCGATGATTGCAAGGCTTGACCCTTGATAACTTAGGCCTCATGAACTCTAAATATTGAATAACTTGGGGCTCATGAACTCTAAATATTTAAGACTTTTTAAACAATAAAATGTTTTAAGATGGCTTACACACAATCTGCAAGTTGTCTTCAGGAAGGACTTCATTGAAAGATTCTTTTAAGATTAAAGATAAAGTATTTGCCTGTCATGCATTTATGTATTTTTCGGCATATGTGTAAGGTTGTTTATGTCTTGTCGTGCATATATGTGTGTGGCTATATATGTCTTACTCTGCATAAGTGTGGTTTTGTTCATGTCTTTTTTTTATTCTGCATGTGCGTGTGTGGTTGTATATGTCTTGTTCTGCCTATGTGTGTGGTTGTATATGTCTTGTTCTGCCTATGCGTGTGGTTGCACATGTCTTGCTCTGCATATGTGTAAGTTTGTTTGCCATTCCTTAATACAGAAAGGAGCTAATAAAGAACAATGTAAAGGTTTGAATTTGTTTTTTTTTTTGGTTTTTCTTGTTGTTGCTGTTTTGTTGTAAAATTTACGCAAGGCTGATCTGACATGTGTTCAACATTCAATTTATGTGTCTTTGTAAGAAGTCTGCCTTACCCCTTTCAATCAAATGATAACCTACCTTTTGTTTTTTTTTATTGTTTTTTTTAAACTTATCAATTCATTTGATAACGTATGAATACATTCTACACCGGGTACTATTATTTATATATATGTATATATACATACATATATACATACATATATATATACATACATATATATATATATATATATATATAGGCCTATACATATATAGGCCTATATATATAATATATATGTAGATAATATATAGGCCTATATATATATATATATATGTAGATATATATTGATGTTTGGAAAGACTAGCATAGGCCTATAGGGAAAACAGACTTTGTAGTGATATAGGGCAGGGGTTATTTAACAGGGGTGCAGTGCCCAAGGGTGCCGTAGATCCAGAAAAATCAGGTTTGTTGGCCTTTTTTAAAAAATTTTATAAGCAGCAGATGATGACTTCGCCTCAGCACTATTTGTGTTTGTTGCATTTGTTGTTTATTTCTCTAGCAAGCTTATTCAAGAATGAACACTGCCATAACTGAATTATGTTCGTATTTATCTAGTTAAATTACTTTTTTCTTTCCCCTTTATTGGGGAAGTGGGGTGGGTGCGAAAAAAATCTATTGCACCGGGTGGCACATTTTNTTTGTGT